TATTATCCTCCATTCATAGTTTTGAAACTGCAAATAGCTTTCTAATTCCTGTTACTACTTTTGGAGGCTAGGTTGCGAAGCATAGGGCTAGGCAGTGATTTTTATTGTCTAAAAAGTTATTCCACTTGATCCTTGTTTGAGTTCATGACATTCCCCTATTCCTACTCCTACTCCCTAAGTTATTGTATTCTGTATATTTAGTTCATACTTAGCTACACAAAAATAATTTTATTTCTTTCTTTGTAATTTTAGAATTTACCTCTTGTGATAACTAAAGACATCCTCCCATTTGGCACCAAAACAAATGTTCACATCACGCAGCGGCTGCCTTCCAGGTGTGTGAGCAACGTCTGTGTGTGACCAGGCCTTCTGGAAGCTTCCTGCCGACTCTGCCATGTCTGCGCCCTCACCATCCCTGAAGGCAGTGCAGCTCCTAAGCCTACGGTGTGTGGTCCTCTGTCAGGAAACAATGTAAACTTCTCTGTCCTCTCTCTTCCTATCTCCATGACTTGTATAGAGCACAGCCCTCTTGAAGTAAGATTACTAGCCCCGCTGCCAAAATACCCAGAACAATAACAACATCAAATGATGTAATATTATCGTTCAGATTACAAATCACTGTTATGAGCATGACATTTTTAAAAAGTCTAAAAGGTGAAGTGGTCTTCCTGTGAAGTCACCAGTGTCCAGCCTCCAGTCTGAACTCCCTGTTCCCTTTGCCTGTAACGCACCCCGTGCCCATTTCTGCTTGGCTGGCTCGAAAGTGACCTTCATAGCCCTTCTATGAACACCTTATCTATAACAACTTCTTTTCACCAGTGTCCTGTCAAATCACCCCGTTTCATTTCCTAACACTGATATCTGAAATTATTTTTTCATTTTTTTGTCTATCTCTTCCCACAAGAATTAAATTCCACCAGAGAAGGGATCTCATCTGTCTTGTTCACGCTACATCCTCAGCAACAAGAGCTGTAGTTGGCATAATGTAGGTGCTCAATAAACATGTGTTAAAAGTGAATAAAAAGAAAGTGGGCAGTGTGTGTTCACTCAGCTATTTGCTGGCCTTTGCTTGAGTTTCCCTTAGGGAGCGGGAGAAAGGATGGGGTTGACGGCCATCATATCTCAGAGGTGGTGAGGGTGGCTTTGGGAGGCTATGTGAAATTATGAAAAAGCCAGTCCCAGTCCTGTCCTTTACAAGACGTACAGGAATTGGGACATATCCCTTCATCTCTCTGAGCTTCAGTCTTGTCACCTGTATGGCACACTGTTTCAGAGGATCAGTGTAACAATTAAATGAGATAGTGATGGCACACAGTAAATAAATTAGTTCCCCTCTGCCTGTCCCTGAAGGCTGTAAAAAGAAGCAGCAATCAAGAAGCCCTGGGAAAAGGACCTAATGCTTTCAACCATCCTAGCAGTCACCTTAGCAACTGCAATGATTCCTCAGAGAAATTTCAACCTGCTGTATCAGGCCAGTTGTGAAGTCCTGAGTACATTCTCAAGACACTGAGCATGAGTCTACCTTGCAAGACTATGAGAGATTTATTCCTTGCTTCCCAATCTTATATCAACTTATATTAAACTGGGGCTGGTGTTTTTCAACAAAGGTAAGCTAATAAACCTGTTTTAAAGCACTTTGGGTGTCGATTCTGCCACAACATGAGCTTCCACTAGTCTCATCGAAACTAGAGCATTCAAAGCCATGAAACATCTGTGGTCTCCAGGCCTTCTGGAGACCCTTTCTGTGCCACCATCCTTGCCTATTTGAACACAATTAATTCCCTACACTAATGCATTCTACCTATTCATTTGTTCATTCAATAAGCATCAACTGAGTGCCACTACATGTGTGTCTAGCCTTACACTGGCAGCTACTAAACGTTAAACACTGTGCCTAACCACCTATGTGCCTCAGGCCATTCAATCCTCATTGCACCCCTCAGGCACTATGACTACCCCATTTTACAGACAAGAAAGCTGAGGCTGAAGAGTCCACAAACTGCCTAAGTGGGCAAGATGGTGGGCCAGCATCCAATCTAGGTTTCCATGACACCAAACCCCATTCCGTTAATCACTATACTCTAGCATACAGGTCTTGAATGTGCACTTGGTGCTTATCAGGGTGCTAGGTGTTTGCATGAATTAACTCTTCTCAGGGTGCGAGCTCTGCCTTACTCGTCTTTGCATTCCCAGTCCCCTAATCAATGCAAGTAAGGTTTGTTGAAGTGATGAGAATGTGGCTCCTGTTTTCAATAGCAGAGCCAAACAGAAAAGGCTGCAAGAAAGATCGTAAAATAACAACATACAAAGACCAAGACATAAACCTGTCTACAGTACAAAAGGTGTGAGTGATGAAAGGCAGACAGGTAATGGGTTTGACTCTATAACCAAGCACCACAGTAAGGAGTCTGACCTAGCGCAGGCATCACAGACTCAAATGTTTACAGCGGCCTGGTGCATTATGTGAGTGAATGAATTGGGCCAGGTGGAGGCTGGTGACTTGGAAAGTGCATGCCCCACTTAAGGGGCCAGGCGGACAATGTCATGGGGAAATATACGGACCCAATATTGACAGAACTTTTGAATTTTCAAAAGATGAAAAACAATCTGCTGTTTGATGTGAAATCTAATTTTGAAGTGCTGATCAGTATTCACAAACTGAAAAAGCACATTATGAGCCATACAGAACACATCCTTAGGCCAAAGTCAGCCGAGGACCCATCAGTTGGTGGTCTTTGGATCAGACTGTATTTCACAATCATTTTACCACCACCCATCCCCATTTACTGTCCATGGGCTTCAGGATTTGAAACTCTGTGTCTAACAAACAGCATTTTGAATATTTAATTAGTTTTCTTACATGAATTAAATAATCAATAACTGACAAATTAGGTCACCATGGGGAACAGTTAACATACCCTGCCCCTGTCGCAGCTCAATGTAAAATTTCCCATTACACTTTAAAAATACTAAAAATAGCTCACAGGCTTTTTTTCCTATCCTCACAGGTCCCCTTGAGATCTGAGGGCCCCAATGAGACATTACTGGACTGAACAAGCGGGCTCCATGATCTGGGTAGTGAGGTGTAATGGGGAAAATGTGGGGCTGGGAGTCAGGCAGAGCTGGGTTGAATCCTAGCTCTTCAACTTACTGAGTGACCTTCAACAAATTATCTAGCTTCTGTTACTCATTTGCAAAATGGGAGTAATTTGTGATCCATGTTTTTCTCCCACCATCACCATCTAATTAAAAGCAGCGCTCCAGATAACAGCCCATTTAATACTATTATTATGATTTAAATAGTTCCAGTTGAAACACGAGCAATAGTCTTTCAGGACTAAGAGCCATGGTGATATGCACACTAATGGAGGAGCGTGCACGCACTACCTTCCATTACACCTTTTATTCAAAGAACTGCAAGTGCGTGAGATTTAGAGCTGGAGAGCCAGGAATCTGGTGTGCTGTGAGTCTTCCCTAAAGCCACAGCATGCCTTAGGTGAGGGGAGGCCAGAGAGAGGGTCTATGTCTCAGTACCACATGCTAAATGTCAAATAAAAGCCTATTATCTTTGTCCTCACCTCTACATAGTTTATTAACAACTGAACTCATCTGTATAGTGCTTTACTATGCACAAAACCTTCCGACACATATTCATCATGTGTTCCTCACAGGTACCTAGTGGCTGGTGAGGGACAAGTCAGCCCCATTTTGTGAATCCGCAAATAGGCTCTAAGAAGTTGGAACTAGTTCACGGTCACCAAATTAGCAAGAGATGGAACTAATTCCAGTGACTTCAAATTCATGGTTTTTCTCATATGCCCTGGCCTGTAAGAGGCCACACACAGCAAATGAGGAAGACAGGTGCTGTTAGGAGACATATGCTGGTTGAATGATCACTATTCCGTTTATCTGTGAAATGCTAGGTGTGTAAGAAATGGAACTTGTTCTGGGATGGACAATAGATTTGGGCACTTAGGAGTACTCTGTTGTCTAACTATTGAAATAACTGTGTTAGGAAACACGAAATTGTCATCTTAGATTATACACTACAGTTTGCCATTTTAAGGCAGTATAGTGGAATATTATTCAACTTTTCCCATCTTTTCCGATTTACCCTCCTGCCCTGCCCCCATCTTAGGGAGAAGAAGCCCTATAAACCACAAGACTCCTCCCCACCACACACCTTTTCTTTTTACTGTAGCTGACTAGATGAGATATGAAAACCTAACAAAAGGACAGCTAATTAACAGACATGAAATTGGCTGGGTTCTCTCTGTGGTGAAGCAATACTGAATCCTGCATCAGAAGAACTGCTATAGAGCTGGGACCAGAGCAGTGCCAGGGGAGGGAACAGGAGAGACAGAAGTAAATAGAGGAGGCTGCTCTGCGGGGCAGAGAGTGAAGCAGGAAGGAGAAGGAACCAAAGAAAAGAATGGAGACTAGGAGAGCGACCGCCTATCCTGACCAATTCCCATTCCCATCTCCACCAGGCTCAGAAAGGCTTCCTTTGACTGGGTCCGGCGAAATGTACCATTTCCTCTTCATATCCCCCCTGCATTATCCGAACTAGTTTGGGTGGATTTCTGTTCCTTACAATCAAACAGTCTCTGACTAATACAGTAAGAAACAGGAGCCACAGTTAGAAAACAACTCAGAGAGTAGAAGATGGTTTAGAAAAAAATTACATCTCTTTCTATTTAGATTGCACAGAAAGAGAGGGAATGAATGAATGAATGAAACTTCTAAGTCGAAAAAGCCCTACTTATGGCCGCCTCAACATATGCCAAGTTTATTTGTATTATGCCCACGCTCTTTTAAGAACCAGGAGGATAAATATTGGCAAAGCTCCCTTCTTCAAAATTAAGCACGATGCCGACAAAGGACTTAAATAGTGATAGAGTACACACTTGCCCCTTGTGAACCATGGTTCAAAATCCCCTTGTAACCAACAGATCTTACTATTATGAAGTCCATTCTCCACCCTCCACCAATCAACTTACTGTTGTATGGCTCTGTTCAGGTCACTGGCTTGGATGGGTCAACATCTGTGAAATCCCCCCGATTTCCTAGGGAGAATTAGTCACTTTTTACTCTGCCTCCCATAGCAATTAACACATTTCTCTATGTGGGTTCTCATATTATAATTTTTTGCTCATGAGTTTCATTTCTCAATTGGACTACAAGTGCCTTGAGAGCAGGGCCCATGGCTCATTCTTTATCTCTGTTGTGTCTTGCACTGTGGCTGGCACACATGCTGGTAGAATAAATCAATGCCCATTAGCTTTGTCTCATGGGAAAGGTCCTAGAAAACATAATTAAGATTTAAAATTTTTCTGTAACAAATCAACTGGGGTTACAACTATGCACACAAATTGATTTAACCATTTCAACTGAATGCGCCTCTAATTTGAATTAAAAAAAAAAGGTACCAATATGATGTCAGAATTTACATATCTGCCAGTTAAAAAGTTGTATTTCAAAATAGTGCACGGGATATGGGATGGGGGTGGGGATAGGAAGATTAAAAACCTTCAAACTATTAAGCACAGCTCTCATCTTTGTTGAGCTCATATTATACAATAAATTTAATACTGAAAAGTCAAAGTAATCATTTAACTGAAATGACCATCTAAAGAAAGTACAAGCCCAGCATTTATCCTGAAATGGTTAGGATGCCATCATACGGAGCTGGACTGAGTTTCCTGGAAACAGAGTTTATGGGTCAAGCAGACGCTGGTTGATGGCAACTCAGTTTTGCAAACTACTTCTTATGGTGCATGGCAAAAAACTGTCTCCTCTTTAATAGTCACTACTTTTCTACCTGCAAAGCTGAACAAGGGGGAGAAAAGCCATTAACAACTGTGACATGATGTTGAAAGGGTTCTGCTGAAGGTCATGGTATTCTCCAATTTCAAACAAGGAGCACAGAGACTTAAGGAGCTCAACTTTGATCAACCTTTGTTAATGGAGACCCAGTTAATAAAGTACAGGGCTGACTGAGATGGACTGGTGTCTGAGGCTACAGCAGGTGCCTCGGGCCGCCTCTCCCACTGGCTCAGTTATCTGAATCCCAGGGAAGGAGTGACTTAATTTACTCATCTAGTCAGTGATGGGGAAGTTGGAACAAAGATCCATCTGGGTCCATCAGAGGCAATTCCTTCCTAAGCTGCTTACTGCAATGGAGAGCAGAAGAGCAAGGATGGCCCCTCCTGCCCAAACCAAGTGATCCAGGAAAGCAAAAGAGGAGAAAGATACAGCCATGTTGTCTTTTCAGTGCAGTGAGTGTTAACGCATTTACCCTGCACAAAAGAGAAGAGAGGCCAAATGACTGCCAATCTCACCAATCAGACAAGTTATCCATTGTCCTTATCCCAAGGCAAAGAAAAGTAAAGGATAAGAGAGAGGCAGAGGCATGCCACTGAGAAGGAGGTGGAGTTGGCAGAAGTTTCTAATGCTACGGCTGTGGGGGTGGGGGAAAATATGGCTTCTCCCCCAGACTCCCAGGCTGACATGGTGATGTGATCGTAACATGGAACATGCTGAGAGCATATAAACATTCCAGTATACCAAAGATGCTGGAGAACCACTGTACTCAAGGCTCCATTAGTCCCATGACCTCAAGGCCCTGTGTGTTCCCAGGATCCCATTTAGGAGATGAAAAATAAATTCTATCTCATTTTTGGATTTACAACAAAGCCAAGGAGAAAGTGAGGCTATGAGCAAAGGGAAAGAAGAAAGGCACATACCCCTAATGCCAAATAATTATTGTAGCATCTTTCCAAACCAACCTTTCCTCCCAACAGCACCACTTGCAGTTGTCTGTGGGAGCTGTAGAGCCACAGAGGGACAGAGCTGGAAGGAGGCTCAGGGAGGGGCACAGTGAATGCAGGTCTCTCGTGTTACAAGGGTTCAAACTCAAGCCCGGAGAGATTCAATGACTTGTTTATGTAACTAAGGAGGGGCACAGCTAGGCTAGGCAGCCGGTGCTCTTGATTTAGCTCCATCTTTCTTCTTCCTTCCTCAAATACTCACAGAGTCCTCTCCATGTTCCCTCCACCTATTCTTTTCTCCCCACTGTTACTGTTCTTATTCAAGTCTAGAACTTCAAGATCTTTCATCTGAATCATTGCAACGTTTGAATCTTCTAGGCATTTGGGACTTTTCTCCCTCTGAAATCACTTCTCACTCTGCCTCAGCAGTGATCCCTGCTCTAAGGGGTGGGCTGCACAGTTCTGTCCCTGCTTTTTTTCCCTTTGCCAGCCTGTCTCACACAGGGGCTGCTCTGTTCCCTTGGTCTTAGAATGAAGGAGAAGGGTGCAGAGCTAAAGGTGAGCCATAGTGGACATGTAGGATGTGAGAGAAATAAATGTTCTTATCACTGAGACTTCCCCAGCATTTCAATATCCCATGCACTTATAACAGTGCCTGCAAAGAAGTCACTCGATAGATACACGAGGCCTGACAATTAAGTTCGCAAACTTGCTACACAATATTGCAAACCTTTTTGATATCAGAGGGATTATTCATTATGAATTTGTACCAACTGGGCGAACAGTTAACCAAGTTTACTGTTTGGAAGTGCTGAAAAGGCTGCGTGGAAAAGTTAAATGATCTGAACTTTTCACCAACAATTCATGGCTCTTGCATCACGAAAATGCAGCAGCTCACACGGCACTGTCTGTGAGGGAGTTTTTAGCCAGTAAACAAATAACTGTATTGGAACACCCTCCCTACTCACCTGATCTGGCCCCCAATGGCTTCTTTCTTTACCTTAAGATAAAGGAAATATTGAAAGGAAGACATTTTGATGACATTTAGGACGTCAAGGGTAATACGACGACAGCTCTGATGGCCATTCCAGAAAAAGAGTTCCAAAATTATTTGAAGGGTGGACTAGGCGCTGGTGTCAGTGCATAGCTTCCCAAGGGGAGTACTTTGAAGGTGACCATAGTGATATTCAGCAATGAGGCATGTAGCACTTTTTCCAGGATGAGTTCGCAAAGCCAACTGTCAGACGTTATTTTTTTACTGAATGTATAATAATGATCTCATTAATCCTCACAGTAACCTTATTTTAGACACTATTATCATCTCCATTTTGCTGATCAGAAAACTAAGGCCTTGGGAGTTTAAACAGTAGAGCTGAGGTTATACAGCTAGAAGGTGATGAGACTGGAATTCAGACCCAGAGCCTCTGACTCCAAAGCCCGTATTCTTGAACCAGTGCATCACACGGATTCTGAGAACTCTTAAAACTGTCAGAGTTTGAAACACATTTGGTTTTTAATCATGTATTATCTTACTGTTGTCTGATTATTTCATGTATTATATTCGGTTGTCGGGAAAGTCATGATACATTTTTGCAACGAAAAACAGAGAAAAAATATGTCATGTCTTTTCTGACAACCCAACATTATAACCTTGACTAGCCGCTGCCATTTCCCCTTGGTGGTAAGCAACTCGCAGGCAAGTAGTCCATTCCCTCAGTGGGCTAAGCACTGGTCAAGGCTCAGCAGACTCGCTGTGACTGGTGATGGTAGATTCGGGGCAAGGGCTCACGCTTCTCACTCCCAGTCCTCAGGGAGCCAGAAGCATGGCTTGAGTTGTCCTTACTTTGACTCAGAATTCCAGAGGCAAAAGCGGAATGTTAAACAACTTTCAGGTCTGATGGAGACATAACTTTTGAAGGAGGAGACCACTTCTTTCTTCCTAGCCCTATTGTTCAAAGGCAGGGAGGAAGAGAAACGCCTTCTAGACAGACTGTTTCAAAAGAAGAAAGGGAGTAAGCACAAAAAGTGTCTATTTTGGGAAATATCTCAGGATGACACATTTAAGTTGGCACCCTGACTTTGCAGACAGCAGCCTGCACTGCTGCGGGCTCAGACAGGCCGCTGTTTTCCAATCTTATGCACAAGACACATATGTCTGAAGTTCTAAGAGTGGCCGCTGTCACGAAAGCACCTCTGCAGCCCATCACTTGCCAAGGACTGAAAAAGAGCCCCATCCAGTCTGTCCAGGGGTTCTTTTGCCACAGCCCTAAGAGCACGGTGTACTCCCTCCATAGCGCTCCCTGCTGCACCCCTGCCCCTCTCAGAAGGCTCCAACAGCAGGCAGGGCGTGTGTGTAGCTTTAAATGAGAACAGCAAAGAAACTAACCCTGAATAGTTAGATTAAAATCCCTCTGTAGAGCAGATGTGCATAGAGGAACTATTACTCATTTATTTACTATCTATTTTCATTCATTCATTCATTCATTTTAGTGCGAGCCTACAAAGGTGATTTGAAGAAGGCAGCAGAGAGGTGGCTAAGACCATAGACTCTTCAGCCAGATGGCTTTGGTTCAAACCCTGGTTCCTTACCATTAACTGGCTGTGTGACGTTGGGCCAATTATTTCCTCTCTCCATTTAAAATGTCCCTCATCTGGAAAATGGGGGTTAAACAGCCTCTTCCCCATGAGGATACCTAAGGATTAAATGGAACCGTGACACAACACTCATAACAGCACCTGACACAGTTAGCCCTCACTCGGTGTCAGCTACTATGGCCATGATCACTATCATCTAAGGACTGGCCAATGGTCATGAGCCCCATTTTCCAAGATTGAAATATGGCAAAGTATAGTTAGCAAATAGAGCAACAGACCTGCTGTGTGTTGGTGAGATGAAGAAAAATCAAGTACACATGTTGCCATTCAGAATCTCACAGGCTGCTGGCATGATAGAGCATATACATAATGATAAAATAGAGGAGAAAGCGCTTAAGTCCAAAACCGAACTATAAAAACTAGAGGCTCAAAGAAGGATTCATGGAAGGAGAAAACAAAGTTGGACCTTGAAAAGAACATAGGAGTGTACAGATTACACAGCAGACATGCAGCTGAGTCTCCACAATAGCAGAGCACTACAGGGACAGCATCAGGAGCTGCCACTGAAGAGGCAGCATGGACACTGGCCATCAGTGTGACACTAGATCCGGAATGATGTCTCCCCAGGTCTGTAAGGAGGCTGAGACTGTTCGAGGCCCTCATCACTTACCTGAGCATTCTTACAGTAACTTCCCCTTAAC